GAGAGTCTGAGGAGTATGAGATGGATCCGGAAGAATTAAAATTCTCTAGCAGTCAGGGATCTGACTCAATAAATTTCCCTTAGTTGACTTGTTAAATGAAGAATGGTGAAGTCTATGTATATGATGTATGATACATAAAGGTTGATGGATCTGTTTTAGGTGTTCGACTTATTTCATTGTGATATTTTTGAGTTATTTCATGGAGATTGATTTTATATAAAACTTTGAAACTTTCAATGGATTTTACTAACAATTGCTTATGTATGGAAATTAGTATGGATTTAATGAGATTGGACTTGAGATTGGTAGAAATACAACTTGTTAGCTTGGGGCACAATTTCAATTATAGAAAGTAAAGGGATTATAAGCTGATGTAAAAGACAAGAAAAGGACCCGATTAGTATAGATAAGCTATGATATATTATTACATTATAGTTTCCTCCTGAACCGAGTAGACCTCTCCTTACCTTAAGTACATATCAGTACTTGTTTATTCATTTAGCTTGCTTATTCATATAGCGTATGTATAGAGGCTGGCTTGCACGAAGGACACGTGTGAAGCATTGACTGTACACTTGTCCCTCAATTAAGCAAGCTTAGGAGGAGAAAGGGGAGAGGACATTGCAAAGGGGTCTTCAAGAGATAAGTTTCCAAACTAAATTTTTCTAAAAACGTATTTTCTTTCAAATTGGTAAAAGTTATTTTTTGAGATTGATGCTTAATTGTGGAATGATGAAGTTTATTTCAAAATTTGATTTGTCAAGGGCATCAAAACTTGTTGAAAAACATCATAAACTTTGAACCTAGTTTTATTATGAAAATCTGAGCTGAACATTAGGTTTTCAGTCTGTTATTTACAAGATTTATTGTTGTTATTTGGCTTTATAACTTTTAGTTATGGAAGTATCCTAAAAATGAAACTGTAGAATTTTGGTTGGCCTAATTTTTTAATTTTTATGAATTATTGAAGTTGCATGAGATTGCTTGTGAGACCATTTCTACACAGCAAAATTATCTGCACTGTTTTGGCTTTAATAGACTAGTTTTATGAATATTTTACTGGAGATTAATTGATGATATTATAGTATAAAGTGTTAGCTTTCATTTGCCTTAGAGCCACATGTTCTTAAACTTGAATGGCATCTTCCTCCTCCCCAAACCCCCACAAACAAGCAACAAAGGGATATGATCAGACACTGGTCTAGCCAATGCTGTATCTAAATACTTTTCCTCCCAATTACCTAAGATGAAAAACAGAAAAAGCAATCTAGCCAGGATAAGGTCAGAGTCTCTCTGCCGCTGGACCAAGTGAAAAGGCAATCTAGCCGGGATAAAGTCAGAGTCTCTCTGCTGCTGGACCAAGTGAAAAGGCCCCCTCCATCAGCAAGGCAATCAAACCCTCACGTCGATGAACTCTGAGCAAAGCCTCATAAATCTTTAATTGTTAAATCTGTGTACAATAATGTACAAGGCCCTTGCAAATGAGAGACAAATGCTTTTCTCATGAATATCGAGATTAATAAAACCACCTATTAGGTGAATAGGTTTTTGGTTGACAATCAAAACCAGTTATCAAAAAAAAAAATTCGTAGATCAAAACTAAATCCGCAAATATTGTTTTAATTTTAACTTAGTTTATAAATTTTCAAAAGTTGTTTGCTACTTCCCAAAGTCAAAGACGGAATTTCATGCTACATTCAAGTTATTTGGTAATCTTCGTCTACAAGGGCATAAAGGTAATTTAACACATGGATGCACTCCCAAAATTAGGATTCATACATGCATAATTAGACTTTTAATGTTCACATGATTTTAATTCAATTTGGTTCCCTGAATCTTCTATATTATGCGTCAAAAAGTTTTGGAAACTTCCTAATTGAAAATTTTTGCAAGTATTGAAATGCAACAGACTTTGATTATCAAGAGATAAATCAAGTCATTTAGGAGTATCGTCAATTGACCGACGTCTATTTTTATCAAACAACTATTCAAAAAAGGCAGTTTCCAACTTCGTTTCAAACTCTACCTACCCTAATCTCTCTGTACTACTCTGTTGCCTATATATACATAATACTAAGACAGATTGAAAGACATCTCTATGCAACTCATATACACACTCAGAGCATATTTTACGAGGTCTTGAGTGCATTTATCTTTGTATTCATCATACTTAGCTTTGATAGGTGTAAATATATGTGTTGACAACTATTGTTGCGTACCCCAACACGATCATTCAATCCATCATTTGAGATTAAAGCCTGGATGACTAGTGGGTGAGACCGAAATCAATATAGAAACAAGTTCAAGTGGATCTTGTTGACGAGCAAAAGGACTGCCAAGAGACCTTTGGGAGAAAGTCTTTTGTGTCAGGACACAACTAAGGAATTCTTGGGGTAGAGTCTATTAACTTAGGTTGTACTCTCTCTTTCACATAGCGGATTTTGGTTTGCCTAGATCAAGTATCATGGCATTTTCTCCTTAAAATCTAGTGTCATTGTTTTACTTTTTTAATTGATTATTATTGATGTGGATTTTTAGATTTTTATTTTCTTCTATATTTTGAATTTGAATTTCTATTAAAATAGTTTTAGATTTGAAAAATCGTTAAAATAGGCAATTCATCCTACAAGACCAATTCATTCCTCTAGGTCTTATTCAGTGAACCTTGTGCAACTATCTGTCAAAGCCTCAGGTTTCGATCCTTACTCCCATCACCACGTTTATTTATTTATTTTGGTCAACAACTTTTGAGGCAATCCTAACTATCGGCAGCCTGCCAGCTGATGTGGAATATGCTAAATAGCAAAGGAGCCAATAACTCAACTTGTACATTACAAGGTATTAGGGGAGATTTACAGCCTTATACAATTATCATTAATCATGCCCAAGTCAAAGTCCATGGTAAAGATGTGGGTTTAAGATGGATTCATTTACCATGTAGTGTCAGGAAGACATGGGATGTGGCTCCGCTATATCTTATGTAAAATATTTGGTGTGAGAAGAACAAAAAGAATTTTGGCAGGGGTGCAAATCCCCATACATACAAAATAATAAATCTTTTGAGGACTTCATTTCTTTCATTACAAAATCCCCAAGTTCATTAATTATGTGTTTAGGTCTTCAGTGGCACAAGTACACAAGTTTCTGTGATTGTTTCTTCTTTTATAGTTGCATATGGCACACATAAGTTCCAATCCTATTTTGGCACAATTAGTGAAACCTTTGCTATTCTCTCTTCTCTCAGAAGAAGAAGATCCAATTCTGATAATATGTATAGTATGGTGATTTGGCATCGAAGGAGGATTTCCAACTCCTTTTCAATTGCAAATCGACAAAAAAGTATCAATTGTTTAATATGCAACATTCATTGAAAGAGATATGATGAGGAACCCTGGATTTTGGATAGAATTCAAATATTTAGAGATAAGGTAGGGGATTCCTTGTTCAAGATGTACGGAGGTACTAGATCCCTTCTTAAAGATGCTTGTATGGAGATCTTCACTGCGAGAAGGTGAAGTATTTGTTAGGTAGAATGGAAAGTTCAATGTCGGTACATGTTATAACTTATAAGTTGCTCTGTGGAAAACAAAAGGATTCCTTGGAAAGCTATATGTCAGACGTGTACACAAAGGAATCCTCAAGGTGGCTTTCTTTGCTTAGATCTTAATTTGAAAAGCCATCCTGACAACCATTAATCTTCTTTCCCTTTGTGGGGTTGTCTGAGAGATGCGTAGTCTTCTGCTTTCTTTATTTGTTTGTTGTTTGGGTAATGCTAGAGTCAAGTGAAATCATGTGCCGATATATCGAATGTTAGAAAGGGAGTTTATGTACAAAAGAAGTCAAGAAGATTTAGTATGTCAGCCGATTGTGCTCCATCTGGAATAAATAAAACAAAACAAGAAGCTATCTTCTAAATCACAACCCCAAAGTTAAGGTATTTAATGCTGAGCCCTTCATATTGTTTGTTAAAGAGGCGGCTGTTATGGCCACATTCTTTGTTAATTTTTTATGCCTTATGCTTCAGTTTTGGTGGCTTTTGTACACTACCCATGTATATAAAACTGTGCCCTTGCTTTTTTCTCTTTTGTATACCCCGAATTGAGGAGCATAGGTTCAAACTTCAAGGGAAAAGTTACAAGTTCCTTTCCTTAGGCTCACCTAGGCATCACTCACAATCCTTGATTGTCAACTAGTTAGCTAAGATAAAGGTAAAGCATTTAACCTAGAGCAATACGGTTTTTAAAGAGTAAGCGTTGCTTACCAAATCCTCATTTTATCCCTACCACATCAAATGGAAAATGAAATTGTAAAAATACACCAGCCTCAAGCTGTTAAGTTCCTTTTTGTTGCTGTGTTCAAACTTGTTTGAAGTAGGTTTGGTTTCGGACACACTAGATGAACCTGAAGTCAAGTTGTGGAGGTAGCATGGACTAAACTAAAACAGCAAAGAGAAAACACATATTTACATTTGTAAGACTGGTGCAGTTCACTGGACAATACTCCAGCATCAATTCAGTTCTGGTGCTGAGTAAGGATAGGCCCAACTCTCAGGTTGGTGCTGTAAACCCTCAGGTTCAAATATGTTCCACATCAATCTAACCACCCCAGGGCTGAGATGTTCCCCTAATTGAAGGCATGGGAAAAGAAAATTTAAATGAGCAGTCCTATTGAAAGCAATGCCTGCTATAAGACCCCCTCCCGCCCACCCCCCTCTTCAGTTCTTTTACTTTTTCACAAACAAAAAGAATAATGTTCAAGAGCTTACTATTGATCAATCACAGATTGAAGAAGCCTAAATTTTATCAAGGTGAACTTTTTTTTTTTTTTGGTAAGTAAATTTTATCAAGGTGAAATGACCAACCTCTTTAAAACAATACAAATTAAAGGGAGCAATAAACATTTAAATAAAAATTTAAGATAACTAAACTAAAATAAGCGTTCATATATTAGAAATCTAGATGATTTTAAATTGAAAGAGTTACAGAAAATGAAATGCATACCAATATAGGGAATCCCACAACAATTGCTCCAGCAGCACTGACTACCACAGCCAAAGCAGTGAATGCCATTGAACTAAAAGCATCAGCAATCATACCAAGGGCATAAGCACCAGCTGCAGCTGCCCCTCCAAGCATTGTAGTGGTCACAAGAAGAAAATTGAAAGGCCGAGGCACCTGAATGTACCGCTCAAACGAATGGAAAACAACTCTAACCTCTAAGCAAATCACAACAATAACCAAAGCAACAGCACCATTCACCACCCGAATACTCCTCAGCTGGTTCTCATTCTTAGTGACCCACCACAGGGCACCCCTCGTTGATGCATAGAGTTGAAACAAGAAAGGAACGAAGAAAAGAAGAAACAAATCACAAACGGAAGCAACAGAAGAAAATAAAACCGAGTAGTGAGAGGCAATGTGAAAGAGCAGGGGAAAGTGCAGGAGATTCAATGTGTGTATACAACTCTCTAGCTGGCCAAGGATCAGATTATCATCGGGAACCTCCCCACCATGATAGCTCACTTCTTGCTTCAATTTGAACGATGACACTCGAGGAATCGAGAAAAGCCAATAGAAAACACAATTGAACACCATGAGATAGTAAGAAGCATGGTTCATACCGATTGCGAAAACCGTCGCCCAGGTAAAAATCACCGAAGCAATCACAGGGACGCAAGCGAACAACAGGCGCTCGAGAGAGAGGACGATCGTCGGATACTCGATTTGAATCCACTTGAACTGAAGAGAAGCCCAGACGCCGATCAAGAAACTGGTCAGGGCGCAAAGGAAAGCGGCGAGGATAGCGAGAGGGATCGAATTGAAGGTGACGGAGAAAGAGGAGCTGAAGAACAACGCAATCTGCGCAAAGATGAGAGAGAACCAGACGGCGAAGAACGAACCGGGCTTGAAGTTGATAGCATCGAGGATGTAAGCGACCATGAGGCCTACGGTTAGGGTTACGACGACCGGAGTGCCGCCGAGGTCGAGGAGGAATGCGGCGCAAGGGACAAGTGCGATGGCGATCCTGGTGTTGTGGACGAGCGGCGACGGCGAGAATCGGGATTTCTTGAGAGATCTAGTCGAGGAACCGTTACTGCTGCTGTTGCTGTAGTAGGATGATTTAGGGCTAGGGTTAGGGTTTCGTTCGGGGGAGTAGCCGCCGTTGAAGGTGGTGGAAAAAGTGGGAGCGCTCATGGAGGAGGAGATGAACGGGCGGTAAGAGCGAGGTTGGAGCTCCAACGGCAACATTTTCGCCGAAGAGGGAGAGAGAGAGCTCTGACAGTCGGAATTCAATCGGTTGTCTGATCTGTGTCTAGGCGTTCGTGCTGATCAGAGAGTTAGGAGTTACATAATGGAGTGACGTGTTCGAGCTTCTTATGACCATTGGATCATGATTTAGAGGGACCCATCACATCTTACAGGCACAAATTTGCATGCGACTTGTTTTACACAGAAATTATGCTTATTATGCTTATTTTTTGCTCGTGGACCAAAACAGCATGTTTGGCTGTTCAGTTTAGTGACCCGATCCGGATCTAGCAGGATTTTATTTCAGTAGCCCAGTGTACTCAAAAATAAATAAATAAAATTAACTTGTAAATAAATAAATAAAAATTAACTAAACGGATATAATGTAATAAAATATCTAAAGAATTGTGTTTTGGTTGCATTGATTGAATATCAATCACGTTGATTTTTTAATATAATATTAACTCATAATTAATATTCAACTTGTTGGTTTAATTATAACTTAGAAGTACAAATACGGATATGATACGATATGGGTACGATAATATAACAAATTTAAAATATATATATATAAATACGACATGATATGTTAATAAAAAATTAATAAATTTTATTTATATGTATATAAATTAATTTTTGATCAATTTTTTAACAATATTATGAATCTAAATACAATCATTAATATAACATATAAATTCGTTTCATAGCACATGAAACAAGCATCTCTAGTCATCACTTAATAAAATTTAAACTTTTTTTAACAATTATAATATGTTATTATTGTTTAAAAAGTTACATTTTAATGTTCAAACTTGAATAAATGTGTTATGAAGTATTCGAGAAGTGTCGGATGTAAGCTCAAAATACCTAAAAGGTACGTAGTATATGAAAAGTATCGGATACATGTTAAAAAAAAAAAAAAAATTAAAATGTATTTTAAAATTATAAATACGTTTAAAAAATAACGGACATGTATCAGCAAGTATCGGTATTCGACACATATCTTATACGCGTCGTTAGTCTCCTAAAGTATCTATACTTCCTAGATTATGACCATAAAAATCAATTTAGCTGGTACTATACAATTTGTTTCTTTTTTTAAAATCAAACTAAATTTGTAAAAATCATTTGTACTTACTTGAAAATGGAGTTTACTGGAATATTATATATAAAATTAAGAACAATGATTGCCTTATGCCACATAAGAATGAACCTCCTTCTTATAATGAAATGACCCAATAAAACATCAACAAGTGTTTAAATTAAAAAAAAAAAAAAAAAAATGACGACTACAGGCAATATAAACTTCAAGAAGTATCTATATGTTACTCTTCATATAATGGGAAAGCCACCGATGTGCTCCATGGAATCGTTCCAAATTCCAACTCAGCGTCTTGGATTTAGAGTTGAACCCATTGCTGGAGCTGTAAAACAACACCACCAAAGATGAACACGAGCAATACATTAGCCCACCACCACCACTGTCCATAAAGGACGACATCAATGTGGAGTACGGACTTGAAGGCTATCAGCGGTGGAATGGTAAACTACTTGTCCTGAGATGAAGAAGCCGCCATTAATCAATTCAACTAATAACTCACATGGTCCGATTCATTAAAGTGAAAAACATTGTTTGATTTTAGATTCAAAACACAGAAGTGATATAAATCGCTACGTGAGAGAGAAAGAGGAAATGGTCAGTTTCTATTACTTGTAGTTATCATTTTTTATTTTTTTTTTTCTTTTAAAACTTAAACACCTGTTGATGTATTATTGGGTCACCTCATCATAAGAAAGAGATTCCTTCTTATGCGGCCTAAAGCAAGCATTATTCTAAAATTAATGTTAGAAGACTATCTTTAAGCATATAAGGTCAAAATATCTAACCAAGATTTTATTTAAGTACCCTAGTGTGCTTAAAAATAAAAAATATAATTAATTAAATGGATATAATATATATCTATGTCTATATTATTATTAAAAAGAAAAATGATAGAAAACACGAAATATAACACGCAAAAAGTTCTTCAAATAATTAGAAAGGAAAAAAAAGTTTCTCCTCGATATATCAAAAGGAAAAAAATACAAATAAAAAAAGAAAGAAAAAATAGCCTTCATCCTCTTCCCTCACAAACCCAAAAACTAAAACGCTTAGTGGGGGAGAAGAAAAAGATGTACGATGTCAGCAACGCCCATTGTTCTTGTTCGATGTCTTCTCTTTCTGAAGTGTTGGGTTTTGGAGGTAAGGCTATTGATTTTACAATTTAAAAACCTAAGGGACCTATACTACGGATCGAAGCCCTAATTTTATGTGCAAATCTCTCTAATTATGTTCTTTAGTCTTGTAAACTGTTTGTTATTTGTTTCCCTCTCTTCTCCATTACCGAAATCCTAATTTAAAATACATAACAAATTATAGATTAGTGAATCATTACCTAAGTCCTAAACGCAAAACCCAACACTTCGAAAAGAGTTGCTTCTTACCAACGGACCAGTGGCTTAGCAGTATCGGCCTCTAATTTCCTAAAGGGAGGTCAGGGGTTTAAGTCTTAAAAGAGACATGTGTGTGTGAGTACCAATTAGGAAAAAAAAAAAAAAAAAGTTGCTTCTTGACTTATTGTTGATTGTTAATAGAGTACACATTAGTTCTGGACGTTTTGACTTATTGTTGATTGTTTCAGTGGTTATATATTTCTTTCAAACTGTATAGTTATATGAATTCTACTTTGTGAATTTAGAAATATGGAATGGTTTGATAAATAGATTCAATGATCATATACTAATTTTTTAGTTGACAGATGAATGTGTAAAGGATTGGAGTTTAATAATTGCATTTTCTCTAATAATTGGTCCTCTCATGATTGCCTTAATAAAGCTAATACTGAGTTGTTTCTTTAGCTTGGCTCCACTAATTATTAATCACCTATGGATGGCATGAATTCCATCCATAGATGAATGAAGAAGCACAGAATTTTCCCCCAATTCTAGAAAGAGAAACAATGATCTTTAAACAAATTTTCCAACCCCTTTTCCCTCTCATTTCCGCCTATTTATAACGGTTACAATCATTAATGAGGCTTATCAACTGACTTCCTTCTTATGGGTTGAACCCATCTTCTTTCCTCTCATTTGGGCCCAACTCCTTTCATCCCAATGTGGACTTTCTTACTGCCCTCCTAGTCCTGGGCCCATCCAATGAGGATTCACTCCTACTTCAGCTGCCTCTACCCGACCCATTCCTGGCTACATGGATCGTCCCAAGCCCAGGTCACTTTTGGTGTCTTCATCTGCCCCCATAATCTCTCCCTTAATTAATTAGGGTGAGATTATAAAAAAGACACAATTATGCTTTGACGGCTCGGAATGACGACACAGGAAATCGAATGGCAGGCACGAAGACCCATACTCCGAGATCTGCTGCACCGCTTGTTGTCTTAACTTTTTGTATGTCGAGTCGCCTCCATTTCTTGTCTTTAAAAACCCTGACCTCTCAACCTTTGCCTTTTTTAACTTTATTCACCCTTATTTCTTGCTGTCATCTTCTCCAGTGTCCTTCGTCATCAACCTGCACTTCCCGGCAATCTTTCTCTAGTTTCTCCGGCGAGTTATATATTCGCGACTGGGCTCTTGTATCGTCGCTGGTACTTTGTAAAACTCACTCCCCAAGGTTAGTTCCTCTCTTCTTTTATTCTTTTTGAACGAAAGACCTTCACTCTGAAATCTTCCCCATTCTCCATGGCTCCCCCCAATTTGAATGTTATTCGCTCCAAAAATAACATTCCTGATGATGTCTCCCTTAGGATTTACCCAATAAACCTGGATGAGAGCTCTGGTGAAGGTCTCTTTCCTGGTAAGGTTTTGTTTTCTGCTATTCATCTGAATGTAATTAGGTTCCCACTGCACCCATCCTTCTGTTATGCATTCAGCAAGTTGGGACTTTGCCCTCTGCAGGTTAACCCCAACTTTTTAAAGGTAATTTCAATCCTTTTACTCCTGAACTGGGACAGGGGCCTCAACCTTGACATCATTGACCTCCTCCTCTGCTATCGGATTAACAGAATCAAACATAGTGAAAAATATTATCACTTTCACCTTATTGAAAAACGATCAATATGTACAGACAAAAACTCTTTTGAAAAAGGTTAGAGACAAAACTTGATTGGGGTCAGTGGAAATTGGCGAACTCCGTTCGGCCAATCTTTCTTTATTCCAACTACCTTCAGTGAATGCTCTGTCTCTGGCTATAGAAAACCGAAGACACATCCCACCGAATGCCACTGTGAAAGTTGCCTTCCCAATTTTTGTACTCTTCTTTGTAGATGCCTTCAAATACCTCATGACGAACTGGTTTACGGCATTTGCAGGCCAGGCTAGACATCTTAACGGAGAGAGTGCTGAACAACGTTCCTTCGGTTGCAGATTTGCTCACTCCTGAAAACCTCTCTGACATCTCTCTCCTAGGATCTACAATGGAGAGCATCCAAATTCCATCTTTTAGCAGGAGGAGGCGTTCTGCCCCCACCCCTTCTGCTACACCTGTCACCATATCATCTTCCACACCTGTTACCATATCATCCTCTACAGTTGTCTCCACTCCAGAGCAGGCTATGACTGTTCTAGTTGTGACTTAAGTCACAAACTGTTCTGCTGACGGGCCTTCAGCATCCATCCCTGCTGAGACCCAGGTTATGGACCACTCTGCTCCCATTACTGAGCCTTCAAACACTTTATCTGACACTTCTTCATAAAGCACCCAGGATGCTAGGGGCTTTCAGAGCAATGGAGGGTCCCCTCTAGTTAGAGCTTGCACATCAGAGAAAAGTCTGGGCAAAAGGCCAATGCCTGAGGGCGGTCATGATCAAGGCAACGTCCCTCCAGCTCGGAGAACCAGGATGCCTACCTTTAGGATTACTGAACCCATGCCCCCACCTTAGCTTTTCATACCAGAAGGTGACTCTGCCAGAACCTCTGGTTTCAGCACCGTCTGTTCTTCCATGGTGCCCTCTGCTCAGCCGTGAGGATGGCTCTGCCATTGGCCCTACAGACTCTTTATATCAGGACCCTCTCACTTCCTTTGCCTTCTATAAAGGCTTCTGGACTCCCAAGGACCTTGAGATCCTGAACAAGATGTCCTTTGGTGAGATGTTCCGGCGGTTTCCAGCAGCTGCTGTTGAGGTAATTCTTCTTTTTCTTGAGATACATCTCTTTTCCATTTTACTATTCAGTGACTGAACTGACCTGAACCACCCCACCTCTGTGCAAACTCTGTTTGGGATGTTCACATTTCAAAAAACCATTGAGATTCCGAACAAGAAACTCAAGTCTTTCTCTGTTGTCCTTAAAAGATCTGTTAAAGCAGAGACTCGGCTTGAGGCTAGAAACACTGAGCTTGTGTCTAAGCTGAGTGAATCAGAGAAGGAAACCACCAACTTGAAACTGAAAGGGATGCTGTGGCAAATGAGAGAGACGCTTTGAAAGCTGAGCTGGAGGCCCTTAAGGCCGAATGGGACTCACTTCAGGATGAAGTTGATGCCCTGAAGACTGAAAAAAGTGTTGCCCTGACTAAAAGGGATTTGCTGAGGACTGAGAAGGGTGACCTTCAGCATACAATCATTGCTGAACGGTTGACCCATGCAAATTCAAAGGAAAAGCTTCTGAATGACCATTCTTCTCTGCTGAGTTTGATTGGCAGAGTTGAGGGTGGCATGCGAGCTCTTTTTGCCCGTTTCACCAGAACCAGTGCTCTCAGGTATGCTGAAGGGTATAGAGATGGCTTTATTGACCGTTCTCCCCCTGAGGGTGAGTCTAGCTCTTGCTCTGGTCTGGATGAACTTGACGCTTCCTCGGACATCCATCCACCAAGCAACTACTAGAATCCACCCTGCGACCCTGCTGAGAACATCTTCATTGAATGCAGAGAGGTTGCAGCCTCAGGGGTTATACCACCCTTTCAGCCACTGAACGTTTTTCCTATCACCATTATTATCCCCTCCTCATCGGTTGCCTCTGACAAACTCACGCTAGCTGAGGGGGTGATTCATCTTAACTCCCCCTCCAAAGATGATGGTGTAACTAATGATGGAGAGGATCATAATGGTCCAGAGGATAATAATGGAGGGAACAATGCAGCTGAGCTTGGAGGGGAACATGTTGACTGACACTCTGCAATACAACTGCAGTAGTTTTTTTTTTTTTTTTTTTTTTTAAAAAAAAAAAAAACAAAAACGTACCTCCATGTATTATTAGAACATCAGGCCATGTACCTTAAGGTCTTTTTGTAATGAATTACAAGGAAATAATAATATCTATTTTTGGCAAAACTTACATTCTTTAACCCTGAATGATATGACAACTCAATACTTGTTTTTTGTTCTTTAATTTCAAGTTCCAGTTTTCACATTTTAATTTTCTTAAGTGTTTGGCATTCGGCTTGTGGTGCCAGCTGCCACTTGACTTGCTAAGTGCCTGGCGCTCGGCTAGAATGCCACTTGCCACTCGGCATATGCTCATTTTTTAGCAAGTGTTTGGCGTTCGGCTATTAGTGCCAGCTGCCACTTGACTTGCTAAGTGCCTGGCGCTCGATTAGAATGCCACTTGCCACTCAGCATATGCTCATTTTTGAGCAAGTGTTTGGTGTTCGGCTATTAGTGTCAGCTGCCACTTGACTTGCTAAGTGTCTGGTGCTCGGCTAGAATGCCACTTGCCACTCGGCATATGCTCATTTTTTAGCAAGTGTTTGGCGTTCGGCTATTAGTGCCAGTTGCCACTTGACTTGCTAAGTGCCTGGCGCTCGGCTAGAATGCCATTTGCCACTCGGCATAGATTCATTTTTGCTCAGCAGAAAGAACGTTGATCAAACTTTTAGGCAAGATAAACTTCCTTCATAAATCTTTCATAACTTTTGAAAATTTTATACACTTGCTAATGCAAGTCAAAACGTGCATTGTTCAGAATTAAGTGCTACTTTTACTAATAGTACCTTTTTAAAGATGTGTCATTCCATGGTTTACTAACTAACCTTCCTGCCATGGTCTCCAGAACGTATGCCCCCTTTCCTAGGACTTTCGCAACTCTGTATGGACCTTCCCATGATGAAAACATCTTTTTAACTATTCCCACCTTCTTTTTCAGAACCAGATCGCCAAGGGCAAAATCTCTATGTTTTACCCTTTTGTTATGGCTATTCATGAGTGTCTGCTGATAAGACGCCAGCCTTATTGCAGCCATGTCCCTTTTCTCTTCTAGCAGATCAAGATTAAACCTCAGCATGCTATCGTTATGCTCTTGATTCCAGGCTAAGCTTCTAACAGTTGGAACTAAGTGCTCGACTGGTATTACAGCCTCGGTGCCGTATGCCATGGCGAACGGGCTTTCCCCGGTCGGCCGTCTAGGGGTCGTTCTGTAGGCCCACAAGACGTTTGGAAGCTCATCTAACCATTTTCCTTTCTCATCTTTAAGCTTCTTCTTGATACAGGCAAAGATTGTTCTATTCGTGATCTCAGCCTGTCCATTTGCCTGCGGATGGTTAACCACTGCCAGCTTTTGATTGATTCCATACTCTTCTAGCAGATCTTTCACTTGCTTGCTATCGAGATTAGTCCCATTATCCATAACAATCGACCTTGGAACGCCAAAATGACAAATAATATTGCTCTAGATAAATCGTCTCACTTGAGTTTGGGTCACACTTGGATATGGCTCTACATCCACCCATTTAGTAAAGTAATCTGTGGCTAGCAGAACGTACTTGTTTTGCGATCTAGCGGTCGGCAGAGGGCCAACCACATCCAATCCCCATTGCGTGAAAGGCCATAGCGTGGCCATTACGTGCAAGTCTTTAGGTAGTTGGTGGATCAATGGTCCGAATCTTTGGCATTTATCACATCGTCTAAAAAATTCTTCTGCATCTCATGACATGTTCGGCCAAAAACTCATCGCTTTATGCGCTAGGGATTTTCCCCCCGAGTGATTGCCATATACACCCTCATGGATAGTTCGCAAGATCTGCCTCGCTTCTGTGGGGGTGACGCATTTTAAATATAGACCCAAAAACGATTGTCTGTACAGCTGATTTTGTAGAATAGCATACTTCGCCGCTTTTGACCTGATCTTCCCTACCTCGTCTTTTTGTTCTGGCAGCACACCATCCCGTATGTAAGTCAGGATTGGATTAATCCAGCTTGGCTCGTATGGTATAATGTTAATCTGCCAAGGGTTCGAGCTGGACGGTTCAGTAAAAATGGATGGCTGGTTCAACACATCAACCGGGATAACTCTAGCCAACATTTCCCTAAAACTAGATGCACTACAGGCCAATCGGTCGGCATCTTCATTATCCTCTCTCGGCAATTGGATGAACTTGATTTGATCGAAGTCCTTCGCTTCATGCAGAATAGTGAATGGTAAGCTTCCATTGTTTCATCTTTGGTTCTATATTCTCCAGTTACCTGCCGGATTATGAGCTGCGAATCGCTGAAAACAACTAAACTCTTAACCTTTAATTCCTTTGCCAACTTCAGTCCAGCCAACAATGTTTCATACTTAGCCTCATTATTGGTTTCGCTGAACTCAAGTCTGATGGCTTGGCTTAGTGTGGTTCCCTCTGGTGTTTGGAGTTTGATCCCAATTCTTGCCCTCATTTGATTTGATGAGCCATTGACGAAAAGTTTCCATGAGGAGTCTTCATGATCTTCCACCAAGTCCTCAACATCATATTCTAGTAGGAAATCAACCACTGCCTGTCCCTTGATGGCTGTTCTGGGCTCATAAGTTAAGTCGAACGAGCTCAACTCTATGACCCACTTTGTCATCCTTCTCGACAGATCTGGCTTGTGTAGGATCGTCCTTATAGGGAAGGTGGTCAAAACGACAACATGATGGGACTTAAAGTAATGCCCAAGTTTCCTTTTTGCATTTACCAAAGCCAGGATCACTCGTTCAGCTTTTGAGTATCTCCTTTCTGGCTCAGCTATTGTTTTGCTGACATAGAACACTGGGAACTGTTTTCCTTCTTTACAGCGAATCAGAACGACACTTGTAGCTATGCTGGACACACCGAGGTACATAAAAAACTTTTCATTCAGCTCAGGAGCAGACAAGATATGAGGGTTCTACATATACTCCTTCAAGCTGGTCAGCGCTTGTCTTTGCTCATCCCCCCAGGCCTGCCTTCTGTGGCCTTGTATTGTATCAAAAAATGGCTTACAATGGTTAGACAACTTAGAAATGAACTGACTTAGTGCAACTATTCTTCCTATGAGTGCTTGCACCTCTCTAACCGTCGTTAGATCTGCGTTGCTGAGCAGAGCCTTTGCCTGAGCTGGGCTGGCTTCAATACCTCTCTGATTAACCATGTGTCCTAAGAATTAACCAGAATTGACGCCAAATGAACATTTGGTTGGATTGAGCCTCATGCCATATCTCCTCAGCACGCTGAACAAGTCTTGCAGGTGTTCCAGGTGATCTTTCTTTTTCTTGCTCTTTACTACCATGTCATCAATATATGCCTCCACAGTCTTCCCCATTTGACTCTTGAAAATCTTACTGATCAGCCTTTGATAAGCAGCCCCAGCATTCTTTAGACCAAATGGAATGACCTTGTAGCAGTAAGTTCCTCGCTCGGTAAGAAAAGAGGTTTTCTCTTCATCAATGGGTCCATAGGGATTTGGTTGTACCCCTAGTAAGCGTCGAGGAATGTTAACCATTCATATCCAATAGTGGCGTCGACCATCTGGTCAATCTTGGGCAACGGGAAGCTATCCTTCTGGCATGCTTTGTTGAGATTGGTGAAGTCAATACACACTCTCCATTTCCCATTCTTTTTCTGTACCACCACGATATTCAAGAGACAAACTGGGTATTGGACCTCTCTAATGAACCCTGCATCATGCAACCGATCAACTTTTTCAGCAATAATCTGATTACGCTCTGGAACGAACCTTCTCTACTTCTGCCTTACAGGTTTTGCATTCGAATCTACGTTAAGGGAATGACAAGAAACAACAGGATTGATTCCCGGTATGTCCGAATGGCTCCATGCAAACACATTTGCATTCTGAGACAAGAAAACAACCAACCCTTGTTTCTCCACTTCATCAAGCCTTGCTCCTACTCTAGTTGTTCAGTCTGTCTTCTCACGGTCAATCTGTGCGTCAACAAAAGGTTCTTCAATCAAGGCCGAAGTCTCCTCCTCCCCACGATTGCTAGGTAGAGGATCCTGTAATTGCTATCTGGGGCTAGCTGAGCGGATAGGTGCTTTTCCTTTTCCAGCAGACTTCAGAGTTATAATGTAGCATTCCTTGGCCGCAACCTGATCTCCATGAATGTCAATTACTTTGTTCCCATCTGGACTCAAACACCTCATCACTTGATGCAAAGTTGATGGAACACCCTGGACTCTGTGGATCCACCCTCTTCCCATCAGAAGGTTATAGGAGGGATGGATTTCAACGACTATAAATATCTCCGTCAAGGCTCTTTCAGTATCCTGCACAGTCAACTCTACCATGCCAATGGGGTCCACCCGTTTCCCATCGAACCCTAGCAACAGATTTCTTGTGGGTTTAAGCCTTTCCGGCTTGATTTCCAGCCTATCAAATGTTACTCTAGGCATGATATTCGCACTGCTTCCTAGATCAATCAGAACTCTTCATACCAGGCATTCTGCTACAGTCAAACTAACAACCAATGGATCTTCATGAGGGGTCTAAATACACAGCAGGTCCGTTCTATCAAACTTTATCTGTGTAGATGTGTTCTGCTGATGTAAGGTATGCACACTGCCAATTCTCCTCTTCATTTGTGTTTGGCGTAATCGCATTCTGATCAACTCTTCCGACTCTGTTGTCTGTTCAGGTCGGCCATGAATTGCGTTTATGATCCGAACGGGCTGTGTGTTATGGTTATTCTGCTTCTGAGCTCTCTTGACCTAATTAGCCGGTCGGTTCTTCCCCTGTGCTAGCCCCTAAACATACCCTGCCAATTCCCCCCTTACGATCAGCATCTCTACCTACCTCCTTAGGTTCCTGCATTTGTTAGTCTGATGACCAAAATCACTATGGAAAGCACAATGTTTAGATTGATCCCTCTGCTCAAGAGGTTGTCTGATTAGTAAGGGAGGGCGAAACTTATCTTTGTTCTCCTGGTATAGCCTTGCCAGAGTAACTTTAAGTGGAGTGATTAACTCTTCCTCCCTGGGCCTCTTCTCGGCCTTCTAGGAGGTCTGTCATTGTGGCTGAGCTTGTTTCTACCGGATCTTGGTTTTGGACTTCTCCTCTGTTGAGATAATTGATGTCTTTCTTGCGTTAGTTGCCTCTTCTTCTTCCAAACCCTTTCGTTCAGCTCGTCTATGGTCTTTGGCGTATTCACCACAAGGCTTGTGTGGAACGGTGTCCATCGGTTCATCGCGAGTTTGAATGCTTGAACTGCCGTGGACGGATGGCATTCCATTACCATGCTCTTGACAAGATTGAACCTGGTGAGGAAAGCTTGGAGTCGTTCGTCTTCATGCTGTTTCATTGTAAAGAGGCTTGAAACGTCCTTAGTCGGGCGTTTATTCCCATAGTACTGGCTTATGAACTTGTCGCATAAGTCTTGGAAACTTACAATTGAACCTTGGGCCAGGTTCTTAAACCAATTGAGGGCTGGACCAGCCAAACTTATTGGGAAACACTTACACATCAGAGGATCATTGTTTGTGTTCAGAGCCATTTTCAACTGAATGTGGTAGATGTGATCAATCAGGTCGGTGGTTCCATCAAACAGAATGAAGACCGGCATGGAGAATTTCCTTAGATTTGGCGAGTTTAGGATTTCATCAGTGAAAGGAGATGCAACTGTTCTAGCCGATGAACGGAGTGCTTCATTCTCCCTTGAGAATCGTGATGGAACTCTATCATCTGAAGATCTCCTCTCTGTACTCCTGTAATCAATCGTTGCCATTGAAGGCTGATAGGGTGGATCAGATGTCATGTCCCCTGCAAACTCAGTCTGCCATGGTGATGCGATCCTGTGATGACCAAACTCTGGAGGCTTATCGCGCCTATGTCGTCCCCTATTTAAATCAAACACTGGTGCCTCCTCTCGCATGATCCGCTCACGATGTGGATCCAAATGAATTGATCCCTCTCATTCCTCCACCTGACGGACATTTGGAGGTAGACCATCTGCCAAAATTCCCTCACGATGAGGATCCACATGATTGTTACCTTCTGGATCACTTTAATGAACAACGTTGAACGGCTGGACTCCCTCTCCTAGCTGATGTGGCCTTGGGATAGCAGGAGTATCTCGCTGCTCCATTCCAGCTCATAATTCTACGTTCTCTCTTCTCAAGGCTTCGATCATACTCATCAACTCATCGAGCTTTGACTGTTGGCCATTCTCCAATGGATTCGAGCTCTCTCCTCCGATCATCATTCCCGATCGGAGTAAAGTCATTAATCGCAGATCTAAAATTAGATCTGAGCTTTGCTAATGCAAACACACCAGATCTGGACTTCAATTAGTTGAATTCCGACTGTTATCAGCGGATCCGAACTGCTTCAGCAACAAGCTCGCTAAATTTGACAATCTCAACAACTCTCAACTGCGCAGTTTACCTATACCAACACAGATCTGAATTGCTTAGATCTGACGCCAACTTCTCAAAATCAACTAGAACCGAGACTCAGCAAGACAGATCACAATCTCTTCGTCCTTGCTTCAACCCTTCAGAGATCAATCATCATCTTCTCAAATTACTTCGGATTAGATCGATTTGGATCAAGCATCAATCAATCCTTCGTTTTTCATCGTTCCCACAGACGGCGCCATTGAAGAAGCATAGAATTTTCCCCCAATTCTAGAGAGAGAAACAATGCTCTTCAAATAAATTTTCCAACCCCTTTTCCAACTCATTTCCGTCTATTTATAGACGGTTACAATCATTAATGAGGCTTACCAACTGACTTCCTTCTTATGGGCTGAACCCATCTCCTTTCCTCTCATTTGGGCCCAACTCTTTTCATCCCAATGTGGACTTTCTTACTGCCCTCCTAGTCCTGGGCCCATCCAGTAAGGATTCGCTCCTACTTCGGCTGCCTCTACCTGACTTGTTCCTGGCTACATGGATCGTCCCAAGCCCAGGTCACTTTTGGTGTCTTCAGTGAACTATATTACTTATCAGGTCTTATGGGTTGTACATCCTTTGCTGGTTTACTGGCAGCAGTTATATTTTATATGGATTTTACTGAATAAAGGGGTGGTGGTGGATTACGAAGAAAGTTGTTCTTACCTGTTTTTCATGTCTCTCTTTAGGTAAATGATGGCTGCTTTTGGTTTTTTATGCTTAATTCTGTTCCATTTATCTTTGTCGAATTGCATTTGTAACTTTTGTTCCCTTTGTAAGTTGGTTAGGTTTCTTTCCTAGTTGTTATTTACTTGGTGGACATGGGGCTTCAATGATCATATATATGACTTTGCCTATTTGGTTGAATAAAATCTCTTGTGTATTTATTTATTCAATAAAATAAATAAACAAATTCATTCATTGCCATTACCACTAAAATAGCAATCCTATTAAACAAATTAAATAACTAAAAACATAGTCATCTTCCAACCAAAGAAATTGCAATTATATATATGATCAAGAATATAGTCATCTTCTAATATGATTGTTATTTTAGTGGTAATGGCAATGAATTTTTAATTTTTTTTTTATTTTTGTTTACAATTTCCAACCAAATAATTTTTTTTGTCAGTAAGTTGGTATTGTGTGGGTGTGTCGTATGATTTTTTTTTTTAAATATGTGGAAGTCTTATCCTATTTGTCTTTAATATGAATAGTTATTACTTATTTAAGTATGATTACGCCAAGTTTAATGAATATTTTTTTTTTACAATGTGAAGACAAGAAAACAAGAATGCTTAGAGGCCATCGAAGACTACATTGCAAAAGGCTATTGATCTTGGGCATACTATGCTTAGAATTTCCTGCATTTTGGGTGTTTATTTTGGTTCCCAAAATGTTGTCTAGGTGTTATGGATTTTCATGGTATTCATTACAATCTATGAAGTTTGAACATGGCTGTAAGAATTTAGCTTTGATTTTAGTCTTAACTTCTATTGAAGATTTAATGGAGGAATCAATGAGGTTGCTAATATATTTAATAGCATTGTTCGTAACCTTCGCCATGTGTTCAGTGCTATGTGGACTTGTTTGGGCTACCGGTGTGTTCGGTATCATTGTTCTTCGCATTCACCGTGTCTCTAACAGTTTTATTGTCTTTTTCCAAATCCTTGGAAGATGATCTGTTCATAATTTGATATGCAAGCTGAGGGTTATTTCCATGCACCCTTCAACTTGAAGGGAGTGTTAGAAGATGTTATATTTGGAAAATATTATTATAGGAAACCTTAAATTAAATATTTGATATACTAATGGAAAAAATTAGAAAATAGGAAACAATGAGGATTTTTCTCCATTGATTCCTCTGGTAACATTGTGATGGCCCTGCATTTCCAAACCCAGTGAGTCAGTGAAGACCCGATATTTGACCCGGTAACGAATCCGAAATGCGGAATTAAAAGGTAAAAGGTTTATTCAACCTAATCTAATCGTATAACCACGTTCCAAGGGTTTCTAAGACGATTGGCTAAGAATCCCACAAGACCCCCATTCCTGGTTCAAGTACAATCTCGCACTGTCTCATTAAAACATGAATAACCCTCACTATGGTTAGAATCTGAGAATGGCATTGGTACCATTGGAAAGTTTACTTAAAATCCTTGAGTAAGGGTTCAAGAATCACCCCATTTGGACTAGAAATGAAAGAATCGTTTGAAGTTGGGGAAATAATGCTGTTAAACAAGCTACCAGGCATCTATGACTATGGTGTTTCGGTCGATCGAATTGCCATTTCGGTCGGCCGAAATGGACTCTAAAATAAAGAAGAATTGGAAGTTGCTTCGGTCAACCGAAGTAGAGAATCGGTCGACCAATTGTGCCTCAAACAGTGAATTTGGCTACCGGAATTAGAGTTTATTATTCAAAAAGAATTCAAAATATGTGCCATTTCGGTCGACCGAAATGACTCAAAAACTTGCTGATACTCTGTTGATCATGAAAATCATACTTTGGAACTTATAGGATTCATTCTACCTTTATACATGAGTCAAAATCTAATTTCTATGAATTAATGAACATATGAACATATCAACAAACATAAATATCATATTGAATCATGTTATAATGGCTCTAAGCCTCATTACATATCATTTGTCCAAAATCATAATTCGTAAGTCCTTAGATATCAAAAATACTACAAAGCACATGCTAAACACTTTGCATGATAGCTAAAAGAGTGTGTCCACAACACGTTATCCAAAAGAAGCTAAACACATCAACCATCCAAGAAAAGTGCTTCTTTACCTGAAAAACAACCCAAACAACTAGGGTGAGTAATCAAGTTACTTGTAAGATGTGGTGCATGCACATACCCTATAGTTTTAAGTATAATGCAAACCAAACGTAGATCATCACAAGGGTGCATTCCACCTAACGTCTATGTTCTCAAGGTATTCTAAGGGATCATCTCAAGCTATACAATTATTTGAAATGATAAACGTATGACATCCAAGTGTGCATACACTAGTACACTTAACCATTTAAAAACTTAAGCACAATTTCACAATACCAAGAAATTCATGATTTACAATTTGAAATTTAATGCGAAATCAAATAATGAAAGACTAGGATATGTAGTCTCGAGACCATACAAGTTATTTCGGGCAATTATGACTTGTAAGGTACTACCTAGTGCGCACTTATGACTTAGAAGACTCTTGTCTCCATACTAGAGCTAAACCCTAACCATCACCCTTTTCATATCCTTACAAGCTTCCAAAAATCTACAAATCTATGACATTTATACACTCATAATACATGAAGCTATCTACCAAGCACAAGTAGGGTGAGTCCACACAAACCATGCCCCTAAGGTTACATGCATGTCTAAAGTAGCAAGTTAATGATACTACATATTATGCTATGTCAATTTACTATCCATGTAGGCCACAATCACTAATCATGCAAATTCACCTACAAGTAAATATAAGTGCTGTATACGAGATTTTTATACTAAACTTTCAATGAAACCTTTATTACTTAACAACATAAGTGCATTTACAAGAAATTCATCATAAACTCTCAATGAAATCATAAGTATTAGGCAAATCTGTAATGACCCGGTCATTTCCTTCCTTTCCTTTTTTTCATCAGAATTTTACAGATGAATTTTTTTTTTTTCGTTGAAATTTCTTCTCTGAGTTCAGTTTCTCGTCATTTAGTGTCTTCTCGAGTGCTCAGAAATGGTTTCTGAGACTCTTTCCTTTGGATTGACAACTTCCTTTAAGGACCGAGTTATTTCTACATTTTTCGTTTTTCGACACTATTCACTTTTCGTCCTTTTCCCTATTTTGTCTTTTTCCCGTTTGTCACTTTGTTGGCAAAACCTCACTTTTTGTGTTCGGAGTTGGTTTTTGACTTCATGTATCTTCATTCTAAGTGGTTTTCACGAAATACGTATCTTTACTTTTGCAGTAAAGTACTTTGGATCTCCCGGTGTCCATAGAGGCATGGATGCTTAGTTTTTCAGAATCTTTTTCTTTTCTTGGGGTATTTTTCGTAAATATCTTTTGAAGATATTTTATTTTAAGGGTTTTTAAGAAAATATTTTTTAAAAATATTTTCATTCTGGGTCATTAGTGCAATTAATAAAAGTTATTGCAAAAATGCCTCGTTTTAAGCCTGGATCCTTGTACGGGATTCATTTTCACATTTCGTTGAGTCGTGTACTCTTAGAATTGTCTTCTGGTCGTTTTTCCCCAGTTTTAGGGTTTCTGGCTTAGTTGCCGCCGAACTTGTTCGGGGCATAACTTTTTGCTCAGAACTCAGTTTTTGACGCTGTTTCTTCCGTTGTTTATATTTTCCCATTTTAAATCTTTTTTGTTCACTGAGTTTTGCCATTTGAGCGCGTCTGCTCAAATTTCACTTTTTCAGACCAGGCGGGGCCCGCTCGGGGCACTTTTAGGGTTTTCCTTTGGGCTGC